CATCCATCTATAGCAAGGAGTTCCACTTCATCTGCCGAGATCACCTTCAGCCTTTCTCTGCCGTTTTATGCTACTTCAAAGAGCTGCCCGTGTTTTGCTATACTGTAGCACTGCCCTCAACCTTTGTCAGGTTAAACACAGAAAGAGGCCAAAGAGCAAAAAGAGTCAAACAAATATTTAGTTGGGAGAAAGTATACAACTAATATGCTAAGTGAAATCTCCCGGCATGTGAAGGGTTCCAGGAGAGACTGCATTTCTTTCTTATCAGACTTTTTAAAGGATGTTTCTACCATTCGGAGGAAGCAGGACAACGCATACACAGAATCTCTAATAAAAATCCCAGTTCTGAGCAGTATATATATTAACTATTTATACCAAGCTCCCTCCATCTCCCTCCCTGCTTCTCACTAACATATAAATGCATGAAAGAACATCAGCCTAAGCCTCTCAAATTTAGTGTTTCTAAGGTTTTCCTTACAGATTATTAGGTCCAACTCTCATTCTTTCTACCCAGAGAAACACTACAGTACAAAACCTCCTTTAAAACAGTTGAGACAAGACCCACTTTTTGTGAAACAATTCCAGATTACATTAATGAGATGTAAAATTACTCCAACAAGTCAGAGTTAGAAGTTTAACCGCTTATAACAGATTACCCAGGTGTCATTACTGGATTACTTATTGGAGATTAGACAGTCGCATTGGAAACACAGGTGTGGAAGTGAATGTCTGTATCACCAGCTCCAAAATCCTGCAATTACGGAGTCATAGAAGAAACAGTCACTTCAAAGGATATATTCCCTGTAATTTTCCTGATTACCAAAATACTTCAGGCACTCCAAAACAAAAACATACAAGCAACCCAAGAGACTGAAACACACAACTACAACACACTACCAAAGTTAAAGTGAGGAAGACCAAGGGCATCACCAGTGTTCTGATCCTCCGCAAGGAATTTGTTCAATAAAATTCGATTTAAAAAAGTCTGAAAAGCATGCACTGCAGTGCAGGCAGAACAAAACCTACCACCCCTTCACACACACACAACCCCTGACAAACTGGTAATGAAGGGCGCAGTGGGAAGAATACCTCCCAACAACAAATCACAGCATAGGTTCATGCATTCAATCACAGCTACTTCATGCATTCAAATCTGCACTCAAAACAGCTGAATGCTGCTAGTAGCAGTAGTGCGTAGCGTTTGCTCAACACAAGTCAGAAGTGCAAATCAAGCGTTAGGCACTACAAAGAAACAGAGAACCAAACAGTGATTCTGATACAGCTACCGTATATATTCATGGTCCCCCCATATCTTGAGCACTGTGTGCGCAGTTCTGGTTCACACCTCTCAGAGAGGATTAAACAGATCATAGAATCATAGAATAGAATCATAGAATCATTGAGGTTGGAAAAGACCTCTAAATGGATGTGGAAACGTTTCAAAGATGACCAGCCAGGATGATCAAAGCATTTGGGGCAAGTATCCCATATACTTGCCCTGATCTTACGCTCATCCCTGGACATCCACTTTCGGTCACAGTCAGGACCAGCATATTGAACTAGATGGATCTCTAGTGTGACACAACACTGTTGCACTCACCGTCTTACTTCTTCCAGTGCTTTAGTAGAAGATGTAGGGAAAACCCCAAAAGCTGAAACACTGAAATTATTTTTTCATACATGCCCTTTCCTGTGAAAATTTTAATAAAACTCTCTAGAGAAACTGAGTTTCTCAAGATCTATTTGAAATAAGGTACACCCATAGTTCATCTCATGCAAAACTAAAGGCAAAGCCTTTTTAGCATTTCTATAGCTTTACTGTTTCACAACACTTTGCCCTCCCATTATAAGCTATTCCATCATATAGATGGAATAACTGAGATAGATGGACTAAGTAATTGTTTCAAACTCCCAAAAGAGAAACAGCTATTAGAAAATGAGCAGTTTTTTGCTTCCAATTCTGTGCTCTGTCCAGTAGATTACAGTACTCTTTCAGAGATTACAAAATAAAAAGATAATGTATTCACACAATCTGCTGCATTCAAGGGAACTACTGAGTTCAATTCTGGTCAATACATCTCAAAGACAGAGCCACAAGGGGGAAAGGGCCCAAAGACAAACAAGTAGAATGAGAAACCTGGAAAAAAACATTCACACAAGCAGAGGCTGAAAAGGTGAGGACTGCTCAGCTTAATAGGAAGATAAAAGAGGGAACAGAAGTCTACAGATAATGAATAGTGAAGAGAATTCCTTTTATCTCTTTCACATAAAGAATATTAAATGAAAAAAAGTATTTGAAACTGGTAACAGAGAATTTATAGGGTATATAAGTTAACCTGTGGCACACACTGCCACGTGATATCAGAGGCAAAGAGCTAAACAAGGCTTCAGGAAAAATGCCTGAGACACATAGAAGAACGATGGCAGTAATCCAAGTTCCATTACAGTGAATAAAAATACTGAATGAAAATAAACTCTTTTGCAGCAGGGCATGTGCCAGCCTCCGACTGACAACACTTAGGAATACTCTTCTCAACGTTGTTCTCCAAAAGATTTTTTTGTTGTTTTGGTGAGGTTTTTTTGTATCTTCCTTCAAAGTCTTTGAAAACTGACCACCGTCAGAAGAAACAGGACAGTCTCCGTGTTTGATTCAGTGCAGCAGCTGCTATGGTGTAAGGAGTATATAACACAATTATTCTTAGCATCCTACCGGGAAGGTACTTAGCCTGGACCTTACAAGGAGAAATTGCAGCTTTCTACCTCCACACTGAGCCATCGCATCCATTCACTCCCAGCCCAACACCTCCAAACTACCAGTGACCACGCTCCAAGTGACCATCCCCTCTAAAAACAGCGGAGAAGGCAAACTTCTATTTCAGAGCTCCTCCCCACCTCATCCCCTTCCCAATAGCTTTTTTCTAATGTATACACACACATATACACAGATGGATAAAAATATATCTAAGACTGAGTTGGAAGGTTTTAGCACAGTGGAAGGAAAAATAAATAAATAAATGTCAAGGTCTGCGTGTATTCAACAAATAAAAGCAGAATTATATAAAAGCAACAGCTAATAAAAAAGATTGTTCTGTGCTGTGTTTTCCATCTTTCCAACCGTTATAGGAATAAAATTATCCAGAGAAGATCGAAAACCTTTTTCAAAACTAATACAATTAAGCTTTATTACACTGTTTCAAGTACATTTCTCTCCTCTCCTTTCTAGCCCCCACCACCTCCCACTCCAATCTAGACTAACGGTTGGAGGCATTCTTCTATTTTATTACCAGCAGAACGCTAGTGTTCAAGGGTCAGAAACTACCTAGTGTTTTAAGAGAGGAAAGAAAACGTGTCCTTTTATCTACTTGCTTTTGTACATGTAAGAACTAGAAGATAGTTTCTATGCAGCTCTGCAGTTTGAATAGGACTATGGGCAAGCCACCTTACTCCCCTGAGAAGATCCTGCACTAAAATATCCATCACCTTGTTTAAAAAGTTACCCTGGGACTTTGGACAGCAAGGGGCATGGACCTGAAAAGGGAAACGCAAAATACAACAAAAGACTTCAAAAAAAGGACAATGCAGCCTGGACACAAACCTCTCCCCACTCCACTGTTCATAAAGGACAGACACACATACAGATTTTCCCTGCAGTTTCCGCTTCATGAAACCAAATCCGGAGAGAAGAATATAATAGAAGCACACAGCATGAGACCAAGAAATTGCAAAAATTCCCTTTGCGTATGAACATATGGACAACTGCGATAATTAGAACGATAGCTGCTAGATTGTTTGCAATTTCGCTGAACAATCCCCATTATCTAGAAATAGAATTTAAAAATCTGAATGCAACACTGAGTGGTAGTTTTAATAGTTTATTTTTTAATGAACTGTATGGATTAAAGTGTTGCAAAATGGTATCATGTGAAATTGCTCATGGGCATGTTTTACCATCAATGGCTTAAAAAAAATGCTGCATGGACAATCATGCAGTAGCAGGGAATGAAAAGAGGAATAGATGTGCCAATAGTTTCCTACCATTTCTATAATCTGCAATTTTCCCATGTTCCATATTCGCCATCATGTTACATGTTGGTAATAAAGCTGATTGATTTCTCTGTCTCTTTACAACCCACCTTTTTCATTGTTTGCCTTTCTTTTTAGTCACATAACACAACTATAAGTCGGATGTATGCAACTCCCTGTCAGGAGGTCTAATTGCTTCAAATTGGAGAAGATTATTCTCCACATTTATTAAAAAATAAAGACTACTTATAACATTATTTCATTTTGCCAGGAAGTGAAAAACACATTAGTTCATAAGGAACAGCATGGCTGCTCCTATTTTTATGGCATCAATTTTTAAAAACTCATCATGGTAAACAATTAAACAGAGAAGCAAATCCCACATTTAGGGGAGAGATTCAAATCCCTAAATGGATTTTCAAAGGTCATTTCAGGCTTAAAAGATGCTTGACAGTGTCTCTTTAAATCATGTTCATTTCAAAGGCTTATCCAGCAAGAAGCAGGCAGTGCACTGCAGCACCACTCTTTGAACTGTTGGGCTCCCCAGAGAAAAATTAATAATACAACTTTAATTCATATTTATAGCAAGATTTGTGGTGTTTTTTTTTTTAATTTAGGAAAGTATTTTTAACAAAAGGAATAAAAAAAACAGGGCACTTGGTTTTTTTCAATTTAGCTTTCACCTAAACCCCATGGTGAAAAAGAAAATAAAGTCTGAACTACTAGAAATCTTTTTTAAAAAATCATCCAGCTAAAACCCCCTTATCTTTCAAATGCAAGTTGCTCAAAAGATTTGGTTTGTACAGCTTTTTTATCACTTAACTATATAAGGGGTGAGGGGCAGATAGATACTGGGAGCTGACAGTTCCAGGTTTCAGCACAATGCTTCTTATTTCTCTGCTCTTTGGATCCACACAGATCTGCATCCGATCCCATTAGTATGCGGAGGCCACAAATAAAAGACAACTTAGCCTTACCTTTCTCTCAATGCGAGCCAACTGCTCTTTATAGAAGGCCTCTTGCCGCTTCAACTCTGCCTCCCTGCCTTGCAGCTCCATGGCCTGGGAAGAACAAAAGAGCATCAGTAGAAGAAGAAATTAAAAATAAAAAGTGTGAGTGCAAGGAAAGTGCATGGGATGCAGACTGGAAAGAACTAAAAAAAAAAAAAAAAAAAAAAAAAAAAAAAAAAAAAAAAAAAAAAAAAAAAAAAAAAAAAAAAAAAAAAAAAAAAAAAAAAAAAAAAAAAAAAAAAAAAAAAAAAAAAAAAAAAAAAAAAAAAAAAAAAAAAAAAAAAAAAAAAAAAAAAAAAAAAAAAAAAAAAAAAAAAAAAAAAAAAAAAAAAAAAAAAAAAAAAAAAAAAAAAAAAAAAAAAAAAAAAAAAAAAAAAAAAAAAAAAAAAAAAAAAAAAAAAAAAAAAAAAAAAAAAAAAAAAAAAAAAAAAAAAAAAAAAAAAAAAAAAAAAAAAAAAAAAATCATTGCTCAGGACTGATGTACGAGATCCCCTCTCGGTGGAACTACAAACCTTCAGTATTGCAGTTCATTTTGGATTATCCCCACAAGTTTGAAACACTCTTATTAGTATCATACTCAAACTTGTAACCTTGATTTTATTTCTCCTTATCAAATGAAAACATATAATCATAGAAAGGTGACACTTTCCTATTGCCTTTTTCAGAACTCCACCTTATCCAAGTCTTTGTTTTCCACGAATCGTGATGTTTATTACTCCACTTCAATGTTCTTCACCTTACCTTAAAAATAAACCTCAAATCCTCCACTTTATAAACACTTGCCCCTTGGAGTGTCAGAAAACTTCTATAGATTTAACACATCCCTACAATCATGAGGAAAATCCGAAATACAAGGCTATTTTGTAACATTCTTATAGCAACACACATTCTCACCGACCATGCATTTGCTTTTACAGACATACATAGGACTACCCTGATAATTCAGTGCTCTCTCCACATGCTCTCTGTGCATACACCACCAGCACCCCCAGAGTTCCTCTGGCTGGGTGCTGCAGATTTGGAGAGGAGATGGGTGTCAGAGAATTTCTCTTCCATCTTCCAAAGTATAAGTGTGACACTTCCAAAACAGCAAACTTGGTATACAAGCACATGCTTAAGCATAACCCAGTCATCAACTAAACAGTGCTCAATTAAAAAAATAAAGTCTGTGTGGTTACAGCAACTGCTTTTGCCTTTTAGCTCTTTACAACTAGCAGCACTTCATTGCATTCCCACACCTAAACTGAACTAGCCTTAAGAAACATGGCATTGATGGAACAGAACCAAACTTTTTAAGTTTAAAGATAACAAGCAACAATAGCAAGAAGAACGGCACTTGTTTTTCTTCCCCCATCCCGCCCCAAAAATCTCTGGGGCCACATAAATTATCACCAGGCAGAAGACCTCTCAAAACCAGAATTATTAAGTCTGTTTAACATGAACACAAACCCTGCTAATCTATAACATCCCAGCAGCATTGCTCTTAACTTTTAATGATGATGGTACAATCACAGAAAATGCTGGTCCAATATGATTAAGCAGCTGGGACAAATATCCCCATGGGCTCAGACCTGTCATTTTTTGGCCAACAGCCATTGTTAATGAGAAAAATTACATCTGAAAGCAAGTTGCTGTGCATTTCCTTCTTTCTGTTCCCCTGCTGATGGAAATACAGTGGTATAATAGGGCTTCAAAGAGATTTTAAGCTAGGCAGTGAGGGGCAGTTGATAAGTAAGCAAGAAAAGGAGTACGTGAAATAGGGGGTTGTAGGGGTGTGGTGGTGGTGTCTGTTTGTCTGGTTTTAAAGGAAAAAGAAATATTTTGGTTCCCATGTTTGCCATCCCAGCCAACAAGGCCATGGTAAGGCACAAGCACTATAGACTCATATCTAAATCCTCTTGCTCTCCAAGACACTTGATTAAAGGCAAAATCTCTAGCTTTGGTTTAACCAGAGCTGCTATATACCTTCCACCCTGCAAACCAGCTGAAATAGGATGGGGAGAGGGATGAGAATGAGCTGCCCCATATATGTAACCTGACCAAAGAGACACCACAGCAACAATAGGGGCGCTGATGGGCACTTTGTAAGTGCCAAAATTATTACCATTTTCTGATAAGAGGACCATAGCTATCCTTCTGAACCAATATCCGTCTTCTATACAGAAAAGGACTAAGCAATTTCAGCTGAAATGAAACAGATGTAAGAAGGCAGGGTGGTCTGGTGGATGACCAAAGGACCCCGATTCTCCTGCTGGTTTTCTGCATAACACCCATAAAATCAGATTACTAAACAAGTGACTTGTATTTCCTTAATGAGAAAATAAATAAGGAAAAGAAAGAAGAGTAACATAGTGCTGACCCCTCTGCACAATTCAGATGGAAGGTGCTTTTTGTGTGAAGTGTAATATCGGGGGGCGGGGAGGTGGGAGGAAAAAAGAGTCAAAAGATGAACTCTTAAAGATGCAAGAAAGTTTCTGCTTAATCTAAATAAATTAATTACATGGCAGTGCTACTCTCCTGGGGTAGCAGACTATTCTGGCGGGCAATACTGGTGGGCAAAAGGCTTTATTCTGTTTCTGGCAAGACATGGATCCATGTACCCACACACCCATTCATCTTTTCAACCTGTGAGCTTGCCTGACCTCATTCACCAAGAAATTCAGCCTATTTATCCATATGACACCTCTGGAAGGGAACACAAACCAAACGCCTAATCTCTCAAGTAGGGTGCTGAGATGCAGACACATTAGAGGTGTGCTGATCTGCATGATGATGACCCATGGACTCCCAAGCAGACCTGACTGGGGCTGGGATGCCCACAGTGAATAATGCCTCCACACCAATGCACCCTGCAGCAGACAGACATTCTGTTAGTGACTTCCCTAGGGTCTTTCAAAATTGATATCAAAGAATCAAAACCAGATCTCCCAACTGCAGACTACGACCTCAGTATACTCACCATTCTTCCCCCTCAGTAATTTCTCCCATATTATCTCCCATTATGTCCCACTTATCACCCATAAGCTGTATGATGAACCAGAGGTTGCAGAGAAAACTTACTCGCAACCCAAACATATTTTCAATGCCTTGCTTGTTTTCAAGAGCTGCTGATCTTTCAGTGCATTGAAATATACTGAGAAACATTCTATTTGTGACAGATCTGCTTGAAAGTTGCTTTCTGTTTCCCTCTATCCCCAGCTGTTATTACTAGAAACTTTAGTACACTTTATGATGATGTTTGAAGTATGAATGGTACAGTCAGAGCATGTATCATTTGAAATATTCACTGTTCCAAACTGGGTTAGGCAACAAGGGACATTTTGTATGAATACGGGATATTTATTAAGAGTTCCTCTAGTCCTGCTGCTTATCCCCTACCTGAAGTCAGAAGCCTGTGGTGTCCCAGACAGAACTGGCTGCTATGGAGATGATTACAATTTCACTGGGGATTGAGATTGCAGGTGCCAAACAAAGCATCAGATACACTCTTCAAACGCCTTTAGAACTAAAGAAGGAAGGAGAAGGGAAGATATGCGTGATAACACACTGGTTTGAAAATCCTATATCAGAAAGTTGCATTTCACCTCCACGCTGCAGAAGTTACATCTGAGCTTGAACATATCATGCAAGAGATGGCCAAAGCCCAGAGATTACATCTAAGAAACTGTAGTTTGGAACACAGCAGAGTGTGATATCCAAGGAGTATGAAGACAGAAACAAGAGAGAGGGAGGGGAGGAAGAGTGTAGTTAGTTGTAGCACGCACAAATGCACCCAAAACTTAGAAAGTAGCATAGGACAGCATGTATTTGCAAAAGAGAATGTATGCAATAGGCAATTGTCTTCTGTACAAAAACTAGGCATAAGATATATTCAGGAAATGCTCAAGAATTCCCTCTGATGGCGTCAGAAGTTACAAACATTGCATTCTTACAAAAGGACAGTGAAGGTATACTACCTAGCATGCTACTACAGCTTCCATGGATATGGATCCATGGACTGCCTGGGGGCTCTTTCAAATTCTTCCTACATTTTATCTTTACACTTTTTCCACAGCCCAAAGTTTTTCAGGTTCTCTCAGTGCTGCTTTGAACGGTGACAAAGAGCTAGGGCAGAGTCATGTGCGATTCCCTCCCTCCTCCTCTACCTTTATCAAGTAACCCATTTAGAAACAAACTGTGAAAGCACATTTCTAAAGCTATGCATTACACACTGGCTCAACTAAAGAATTCAAGCACTGGCCTGCTAGCTGACAGGCAGGCCAAAAGAAATATTTTGCAAGCCTCTTAATTGAGGTAATGAAATATTATTGGTTCATTCTCTATGAACAAAGCCAGACACTCTTAGCCTCATCCTGAACTGACACCAACACGCAACACATCAGACTGTGCCACTGATCTTCTAGTGCTGGGCTTCACTCTAGCTACATCCATTCACAGATTAGCTTTGGCTTTGCCCACCACGAAATATCACCAGATTTTTATTATATTTAATCACAGTCCCTTCTCATCACCTTGTTAAACATGAAAACTAGGAAGGAAATCTGCTTGAAAAAAAGGGCTTCTTGGCAGGGTCAGATTACAGTAGGGCATGTGGCACCCAGGAATAAAGTGCAGCAATAGCACAGCCCACAGCTGACGGCTACCATCAGGCTGTCTCTCTCCGCAATACTGTTGGGATTCTAGGATTTGGGGAGAGGGCATGGAAAAGACTCTACTGGAGGAAAAGAAACCACCCCTCTCTCTGCAAAGGGCAAGTCGAGCTAGAAGGAAAGGTCCATACCTCAATCTATAAAGAACTTCCTCAAAGGCAAGTCACAGCACTTGGCAAGATTATTGCAAAAATATTTATCTTCTTGGCAAAACACGTTCACCAGTCACAGACGAACTAGTGAGATGACGCCTAGATAATCAGTCAGAGGCAATACAGGGAAAGAAGCTACAAGGATAAAAGAAAGGTCCTTAAGTCTCTGTCAAATGCCTTGTTTCTACATCACCCTGTCTTTGCTGAGAGGAGTTAACCAGCTTCCCCCAAAGGTATCCAGTAATACCTCTGCAGCAGCACAGCAGAGATGTTTTGGCTGGGTACCTCAGCTTGCCACACTTCACAACTGCAAATTCTTATACCTCATGCTTTCCCATGTCTCTGCCAGTCCTGGTGGACTGGTAGCAGTCCAAGTGGCAGGGGAGAAAAGCAAATGCTATTAAAGGCTCCAAGACTAGAAGAAGGAATTGACAGCAATGCACTGAAGAACCGAACTAGCTCCAAAATTAGCTAGCTGGCATGTTCCTGACCAAGCCTAAAGGGAATGGCAGAGCTGAAAGGGCAACACTGAAACAGCAAGAGGCAGCTTGCACACATCATGCCTGAGACTGAACAGCAGAACTTTACAGGGAGGCTTGTACTGGACAAGTAACCATGGGCGAGCCTTGACTCAACTTCCACTTGCATCAGCAGAAATATCACCACTACTGCGGAGCAGCCTGCAGTCACTGTTCCAAACATGCGAGGCCTACAAAATCACTTGCTTTTTGTCCTTTCTCTCATTCTGTTCAAGGCAGGTGACTGGGTTTTGTTTTGGTTTAGAACCCAGATGCAGACTCGTGGCCTTAAAAAGCAGTACTGGTGTAACCTTCATTTCCTCCTGTTTCTGCTACTCTCTTAGCCAACAACACACATCACCAGATCGAGTTTGGTTTCAGCAGCTGTAACCTACACAAAAGGAACCAGTGAAAATCTTTATGGAGGAAATAATATGCAATTTTCTAGCTGAACACCTTTTAAAATGTAATGACAGAAAATAAAATCCTGCATCTGTGCTCAGCAATAACAATCTGTACGTGCACAGTAACAACATGACACTTGGAATAAGCAAGATCCAGACAAAAAAGAGAGCTTACCCAGGCGTCCAAATCCGCAGGCTTGGAATAAAGAGAGTGCAAGAGAGAAAGGAAGGGAAAGAGAAGAAAAAGAGAAATCAGTGATTTATGGAGGCCGCCTGCTGCTGCACAATATAGCTTTTAGGATGACAAGTTTAGAAAAGTTCCTTAAAAATGACAAGCATCTTAAGCAGTGCAGTGCTGTCCCCTGTTGGAAACCGTGCTATTAAAGCAAAACAAAAGCACATGCACCCCCAAAAATAAAAACAAAGCAAAGCCCCCAAAGATTGCTGCAGGATCCCCCTGTAAGGTGGAAGCTAAGCAAAGACAGCTGTGAAGCAGCCAGTTTCAGGGAGTCATTCAAGGTGTTGCACAATGTTAGAGATGCCGATATCCACAACATGCACCAATGAACGTGGCAGTGCCAGGCATACTCAAAAGGAGGTGGCCAACAACTGCGCTGTTTCCAAATCACCTGCAAAGAACAAGTATCCTTTAGCAAGGGCATTTTTGAATGCACAAGCTGACCTACATAGCAAGTCATCTTCTTTACTGGACAATTTCAAAGAGTGCTTCCTAATAGAAAGCCAGTTGACTGATCAGATTTCCAACCAGATCCCCTTTCATAGGCAATTGAACACATCTTTAGTGCACAGCCCAAACCTCTGCCAGATCTGAGCTGCCTTCACCTGCTCCTTCTTTTGTCAGCAAGCCTATTTAAGTATGAAGACAAGCAGATGAAGCAGTCTGCAGTATCACCTCTTATTTACTAATTACTACTTTTTATTTACACAGTAACCCAGCAGCAGCAAAGCAAGTACAAGATGATAAACAGTTCATGCCCATAACCACCTCCTTCTGAAGCCAAGGCATTTATGAGGCAGCCACAGCTCTCATTTGTTGTCAGGGGCTGCAAGCCTTCCCTGCCTCTCAGGGCTACATTCAATCAGCAGCACATTCGCTAAGCAGGAACTTCAGAAAGGCTGGCCTTTTTTATTATGATTATTTATTTGAGGGGAGTTGACAGGGCAGGAGGAACTTTCCTCTTGGTCATAGTTCAGTGCCAGAGGGAGCAGACGGTGGAGTGCAATATGTTTATGGGATCTGCCATCATTTTAATGGCACAGAATGACTACTTCAGGTAACTGAGGGATGATGTGTCATCAGCTATGTGTGTCATCCATCCTCATCCCTTGCAACAGCTGAGAGGGCTGAAACCGAACATCTACAGTTCAACTGGGGGAAACCAATTCCCCCCTTTCTGCAGACAGGTTTGATATAGCAGCATCAAGTCCTTGGCTGAACGAACCAATACACAACAGGTGTTCACCAGTTATCACTGACCGATCGTGACAAAACCCTGATTTGAATAACATTTTTCTTCCTGCTGATTTTTACAGTCAAGACAGATGTGCTTAGTTTTGTTTTTACATTTTAGCAATTGCAAGGCTGACCGTCCTCTGCAGATGGACAGGAGGAACACAGGACTCTTTATGGTGCATGTCGTTATTTCAGCAGGTAGGTCATGCACACCGGTAGCTCTTTAGTGGATTTACATCTGTCATGCCTGGGGTGCCTAAGCCATTAACTGTCACATTCCTGGTGGACAAACGCTTGCATGACAAAATGAACATGAGGTACTAACTCAGTGTCACTGGACAGTTGCTGAGAAGAGAGGAAGGAGAAGGAACCAGCCCCATCACTGATAGGTGGTCCCCCTTATATCCCCATAAGATATAACGCACAATAGCAGAATTACAGTTTTAAGAAAGATAACACTGTTACTAACCACAGGGCATTTCTTCCGCAGGTACTGCCAAAGGCTTTAATTTGTCACCTTTCAGGAGGAGGGGAAATTATTACTCCAAGAATAGACAGATACACTCCAGTGAATGGACACAGCAAAATTAAAACAGGTGTAAATGCAGTAGGACATATTGCTGTGTTGGGAAAAATAACTACATTTGGAGTGAAGCACAGACTAAATAAAAGATACTCATAAAATAATACAAAAATGAAAACTCAGGAGGGCTACTGGTTTAAGTTTTGCTACCTCCTAAGCACGTGCCAAGATCTCTTTGTAGACCTGCATTTACCAACTTTGACTGATAATAAAAGACACAGCATGTCCACTAATATTTACAAAGTTTAAGTAAACTGTTTAAGAAATGAGCAACATCTGAGTTCCTTGCTTCCTAACCGAGTGAGTTTCACTTCCAGCTCCCAGCTGGGGGTTTGTGAGCTTTATAATCCCAGCCCTGGGACACAAGCCATCTTTTAGCACCCTTGGTCAATACTGCTGAACTCTTCTGCTAAAACAGGGTTCTTTTCTCTTCCAGGTAACCCACTGGATAGCAATCACAGGAAGCTGAATAAATACTGGACTTAATCGTTTGGGGTCAGAACCAAATCAAGATATTCCTCTTGACTGTATCAGAGGCAAAAGATTATTGAAACAGGATCTCAGGCCAAACCAGCAACCCCTGTCCTAGGTATTTATACAGGGGGAAAAGATGACACAGTCCACTTCCAGAAGATTCTGGCTAGATATGGGAACTATGTAATTAATGCATCTGTGCTTCTGAAAATTTCACATTTGAGCACTGATTATTCAGGCAGGGGATGCTTTCCCACATATGTATCAACAGTCCAACTTCCAATGAAATAAAAAATACAGCACCAAATTAGTTATTTCACACATACGGACAACTTCCAGCATCTTTTCCCAAACCCATACACCACATCACCCATACATGACTGCCGTAACGGGCCCGTCACTCATGTCTCTCGTGGTCTGGGCAAATGTAAAACTGGCAGTGAACAATCAAAACATAGTTCTGCAATTGGCGGCGAGGGAGGAAGGGATCAGCATGATAAAGCAGCGGCCTTAGAAGGGCAACGCCTTTGTAACCTGACTGGAACCAGTTTCACCCTAGATGTCCGTTACCTTGCCATAGTCAATAACTCTGTCATATAACTAATTTCACTACAGCGTGACCAATGACTCAGAAATCCAGACTACCGGCTTGGTAGAGATCTCCTACTTAAGAACTCAATACAGAGTATTTTTAGGGGCACTGCCAACTTTGGGAGTGGAAGATAGAGTGGGAGATGCGAGAAATGAGAGGCAGCAGGTGCCCAAAACCCAAGACAGCTGCTGGCAACAACTTTTGCACTCATGTCAGCATCTGAAGAGCTCTGCAGCACATATTCTAACATCTTAATGACCAGACTTCATCACTGAATGAGCAGAGTCATTTCTTCTTAAGGCAATAATCCAGCTCTAAACTTTTCCACAATGATAGGAATTAAAGCATTTAAAGAATATATCTAGACATTCAGTATCCACTCCAGACCCTTAAATGCTTCTAGTTTAGTGGAAAATTGAAGCAGTATCAATATTAAATGTAACGAGAGTCAGAGATGTAAGCAACTGACAAGGGAGAGGAAGCAGGAAGAGACACTGAACAGCAATCAATTTTGAGGAAAGGCTGTGATGAAATTGCTCAACTCTAATGTATACAGAGCATGCACAATTCTATAAACATGAAGATGGGAAGCAGCAGAAAAACCCTCTGCCCTTTTATGATTCAGGGACAACTGCACTTCTAATACTTACGGCATTGCTACAAATAGGTTTGCAATGCTGACAGTTGATAGTTTTCATTTAAAACAAAATAAAGAGAAACTTATTTTATAAAATCCAAAGTAAACCATCTGCTTTCATTGCTTGCTTTAATACTTCAGCCCATTCCCACATTCTCCTTTTCCCATCACCACTTCTATACATGCACATATACATCCAGTTTTCATTTTGTAGGCTGCCAACAGACAAGGCATTCAATGTCTATAGAAATCTTGCAGAGCGTAGGCTCTCTTGAGATGTATGCTCAAGATGCTTATTTCTGATAGCAGGTGAGTCAACAACTCCCTCTAAATTTTTACCTCCTTGCTTGAATTCCTACTCTGCCTGTTAGACATAAGAATCTCCAAGTCCCTGACCAATTTAGCAAAAAAAAAAAAAAATCTCAAGAGAGGGCATCATGATATTCTGTATTAATTATGACTTTCTATCCCAGAACATATTTCAGACCCTACTGAGTCAATGAGGTATTTCTCATAAAGCTAGAATCAAAGGCCACTCAACTCTTCTTGGATTATTTCTAGCTCATAATCATTAATACAGACTCCCATTATGCTAGCCTAAGGGTGGCATATGGCTTTCTAGGGATAGGACAGACGGGGGAAAATAACAGTTACGCATGCCTACATCCCAATCTCATTTCTGTGCAGGCATACGGGGACGTAGCTTTCTCTTGCCAGATTCTTAAATACCAAATATATTAGCTTCCGAGTCAAACATGACCACTGTTTTGCAAAAAATCAAGATTTTTATAAAATCCAATGAGGGCACTCATCCTACCCGACCCTCAAGGCAGAATGGTAGGCACTCGTCTGAGGGTGAAGGCCGTGGCTCCAGCTGGGGGGGCTGCGCCATCTACCCCAGCGGCGGCCGATGCCTCCACGCAG